GAATAGAGAAAAAGAAGAAAGCAATGGACAAGATAAGGAGGTCAAGAAGGAGGAAGAGAAACTGAGCTGCAGAGAGGAGTTGGAAGAGCTTGGGAAGATAGTGCCATGGTGTAGCCAAGTGGAGGTTTTGTCAAGCCCTTCATTGGGTTGTTTCGTGACACATTGCGGGTGGAATTCAAGCTTGGAGAGCCTGGTTTCCGGGGTGCCTGTGGTGGCGTTTCCTCAGTGGACGGACCAAGGGACCAATGCCAAGTTGATTGAGGACACGTGGAAGATTGGAGTTAGGGTGACACCAAATGATGAGGGGATTGTGGTAGGTGAGGAGCTCAAGAGGTGCTTAGAATTGGTCATGGGAAGTGGGGAGATTGGTGAAGAGTTGAGAAGAAATGCTAAGAAATGGAAGGGTTTGGCAAGAGAGGCTGTGAGTGAAGGTGGCTCTTCTGATAGGAATCTAAAGGCTTTCTTGGATCAGATAGAATGAGAAAAACAAAATGAAGAAAAAAGACAAAATTATGGTATGGCTAAGATGGAAGGATATGGTTAAGATGGAAGGATATGGTCTGAAATTAATGAATGGTTGTGAATGTTTTGTCTCTAGACTGTAATTGTTTTGTCATTGTCAATGTAAACCCAACCGGTCGACTTTAGTAAATTGTCTTGTCAGGTTGCATATACAATGAACTTTTTTCTTTTAAAAATCTGTAATTGCCAAAGTTAAGAAGGGAAGGAAGAAAACTTACACACACATTTACTATGGGGGTTTGAATACAGGACTATTTGGGAACAAATCAAAAACCTACGCCAGTCCAAACACCCCATTGGTTTGTATTGTCACCTTTACTGTATTGATTGAGCATTGTGCTTTTAAGTGTTTTAATTGGGCACTACCAAAAATCTTAGCAGCTCTGTTTGGGGTTACGGTGCTCTTAAAAGAAGCAGCTTATTTTTAAAATTCTTAATGAAAAGGGGTTTGATAAATCAAGACAAAAGTGCTTTTTTTTTCCTTTCAAAATTGTAGGTCACTGACAACAGTTTTCAAAAGCAGCTGAGATGTAGTGTTTAAAAGCTGATGTAGATGGAAGCATGCAGAGCTCTTTAATGAATGTTTCAATATGCGTGTATTGTCCTCGTTTATTTCATAAATGACGTGATTTACCCTCTTCATTTTCCAGGATCGGATCTTCATTCCCACCTCAGTCCACTGTAGCTCTCTCTATTGGAAGTTTGAATGAAATTCAAGGACATTTGTCTCACATTGGTAGAAAGAAGAAAGAGTGAGGTCTTTATAAGTGTGGAAGTCCCACACTTAGTAAATGGAAGTTGGGCCAAGTGAAAGCCAATTGGGCTTCAAAATCAATTTGGGCATTGAATATTATATAAATAATATTTAATATTTAATTTCAAAAAGATGGGGCCTTGGGATTAAAGCCAATCCAATGAGTCAAACCTGGTGGACACCTAACCTAGTTGATTGTAGTTGATTGGAGATCTTATAGTCTAGGTTCAATAGGCAAACTGGTTGGGTAAGATTCAAAAAGTTGAACACACAATTCAACTCATTCCTATGATGGTTAGTGTGTTGTCTGTTGATGTGTAGGTTATGCTTTGCATAATGACACTAATATCTTATTAAGAGGAATTTAGGTAGAAAACTCTTAATTGGTGTCACCTATATGGGAGTAAATGTGGGGTCGCATTTATGAGAACGAAAAAAGGCTAAGTTCTCTAAAGCACATTTCATCTTGTCTGAGAGGAAAACAAACAAAGTTCGCCAGATTCTAAGTCTGAGTGATAGGGCTTAGAATACAGATGTTGAATCGTGGGAGGCAATCACCTGTAGAACTTTAAGCACCAAGAATGGATGAAATTACTGTCTTTAGCACATTACATCAAATTTGCTAGCCTGTATCTCGAATCCAAGTCAGTTTCATTTCTTGTTTGTTTACTGTATTCTGTATTACAATTTGTTATAAATTCTATTTCGTTGATTCATATATATATTGTAAATATATAATTATTTTAAATATTCACTTATTGTTGTTTTTCCAACACTCTCTTCCCACTCTCCATTGATCTCTCATTTTTCTCATAGATATCTCATCTCTCCAAATTATTTTTTCGACATTTCAACAAACCCAACCCACCATCCCTACTCACAAACCCAACCCAACCCAGCACCTACACCCACCTAGATCTGTTTTCTGGCATTGAGCCAAGGAGATCTTGAGGTCAGGTGCGATTGTTTGGGAGGCGGTGGCTGGAGGTTGACAGGACAGAGGGCGAAGGGTTGGGAGGCAATCACCTGTAGAACTTTAAGCACCAAGAATGGATGAAATTACTGTCTTTAGCACATTACATCAAATTTGCTAGCCTGTATCTCGAATCCAAGTCAGTTTGATTTCTTGTTTGTTTACTGTATTCTGTATTACAATTTGTTATAAATTCTATTTCGTTGATTCATATATATATTGTTAATATATAATTATTTTAAATATTCACTTATTGTTGTTTTTCCAACACTCTCTTCCCACTCTCCATTGATCTCTCATTTTTCTCACAGATATCTCATCTCTCCAAATTATTTTTTCGACATTTCATGCAATTTCATGCAATGTTCTATCCAAATGTCACATGTTAGGCACATGACTCACTGTTCAATTAAAATTTAATTTTTTTAAATTGAAAATAATTAAACTGTTAAAACTACAAAACGGAAAAAAAGAACAAGAAAAAAAGGAAGGAGCAGAGCTTGATCGACATTGGGGCTTTTGGGGCTGAGAATCTGATGATTACGATGCGAAAACGCTCCTTTTTGTTGGTGGATGGGCTAGAGGGAGCTTGGCGGAGAGGACTTTTCCCAGGATTTGTATCTGGGAGTCTGATGGGGAAGCTGGGGATATTACTTGTGATATTATCGATAATGTGGAGGCTTCCATGTTCTACAGAAACGGCACAGGTTTCGATCGAGATGGGTTTGGCAAGTTCCGGCGAAGTCCCTGTTGTTTTTCTGGCGAGCCCAAGAAGCCTGGCCAGACCATATCAAAAGGGCATAAGAACTACGATTTGATGCTCAATCTTCAACTGGGTATTAGGTACTTTTTCTGATTTTTCGATTTTACAAGTCGTGGAGTGATTTTTGCTTATGGGTTTTCTTTTTCAATGGAGGATGGTTGATAAGTGCATTATTTCCTATATTTTTATACCTCTTTTATTTGGTTTTTGTAGGAAAAGTTAATTAAAAAGAGCATTATTACCTTACTTTCCTCATTTTCAGCTATTCTGCGCTCTTGGAAGCATTTCGACTGAAAATCGACTTTTCGAATGAATTTTAGTGCAAGGCCAATTGGATAAGAAATCTAAGACATTGAAGATCATTGTGTCAAAGTTTCATAATTTTCTACTAAGCCAAATGCTCCAGACTTGCAAGTCAAGACAGCCTAAGTTGAAATCCCGTCAGAACTGTACTGCTGTGGAAGATTGATGATTTGAAGACCTTTCCGATTTTTCCTAGTGGTGTGTAATATATGCTTGGAAAGCTTAGAGATAAAGCAACGTTTCTCATATTTTTCCAGAATTTTCTAGGAAGTGGAATGACCCCAAAACGTGCGTGCAAGTTGGCTGACGTGTTTCCAAGTCAAAGAAGGATTCTTTCCTAGTTTGTTTCCTTAATTGTTTGGGATTTTGTTTTACTTTAGGAGAGTTTTTCCAGACCTTTTAAGAATAGGGTTTAGTTGTTTTACACTATATAAGGTCACCCTAAGCTCTCTCTATGGGGGATCCACATACCATTAACCATCTTCCCATATACAACTTTCATACACCCAGAGAAACATCAGAGAGAGCCAAGAATTTGCTGCTGCACTACTTGAGGAGCTTACGAAGTGGTTGCTGTGGAGAATCCAGAGATCAAGTCCATCTGCCAAATCGGTTTTATGACAACAATTCTCTTGTTTATCTTTTCTTTTGTCATGAGCTAATTTTCCTTGCTAGGGCTACGATGTAGCCTAACAATGAATACTTAATTTTTATAGTTATATTAATTTCTGATTACTATTTCATGTTGAGTATTTGTTACTGTTCTTAATGCTTTGAATATCTGGCCAATATTTAATTGATTTGATGATCCAAGCGGAGACCGATAGGAGATGTTTGGTGTTTGCTTCTCGTAACAAATACCATGTCTTGAATGAGTGCTCGAGAGAGACTAACATGACTCATGCAGTTTTCTTGCAGGTTCTCATAGAACTTAATGAGTTCTTGATTTTCTAAATCCGTTGCTCGAGAGAGAATGGGTTGTTAATTAAGAATACTTTTGGTTGAGCCTGAGAGGGGATATCGAATGAATTAGGAGAAACCAACTGTCAACATGGATAGTAATTAGGGTTAATTGGCTATAAGAATTAAGTGAAATTGGTTATGGTGAAATTAGATGCTCTAGTGTCTCATCATCTTGATTTTCTATCATTAATTAAATTGCTATTTTTCATAATTGTTTTAGTTTACTTAAACCAATCAATCTTTTTAATCAACTGTTCAAATAAACTTTTGAATTAATTATAATTGGTAATTAATAGGAAATTACAATCTTTGTGGGAACGACACTCTACTTACTTCTATATTACTTGTGCAGATTGTGCACTTACAATAATTTCACAACAATGGTGTTTGATGTTGTGGTGTTTTTGATTTTTTGATACTCTATTGGGAAGATCTGGAGAGATAGACGGGGAGACAAGAAAGAAAAGAGAAAGAGAGGAAGAAGAAGGAAAAGGAAAAAGAACAAAGAAAGAGAAAGAGAGAAAAAATCATAATTTTACATTTTCTTTATTATTTTTTAGTATTGTCCTTGTAAAATGACAAACTTACCCTTATAATTAACAAAAAATTGGATGGAAGTTTAAAAACTTGATGACAGGTGCTAAATTGACCATTTAAAATAGTCTGCGAGCTAAATTAGTTGAAAAAATATTTCAGGGTGGAGATTTCGACAAGCGTGATAGTTCAGGGGGTTAGTTGGCAGTTTACCCATTTTATCTTGTTACAGTAGTTGTTTTAATTAAATAAACTGATTATCCTACTCTATAAGAAGTTATTTTGCATGTTGTTATGTTTTACCAAGTCTTTAGGAGTCTCCCAGTATTGGAGCAGTTTGTTAGTAGTGTCAGTAATGCATTAAGTTAGTAGGAGTCATGTCCTTGCACTTGCGGCAGTAAGTTTCTATGGCGTCTGACAAGGTTACAGAAAACTATGTGCAGCCAGCCATACCACACTTTGATGGTCATTATGATCATTGGAGCATGTTGATGGAGAATTTCCCGAGGTCTAAAGAATACTGGACTCTCGTGTAAATCGGTATAGTAGAGCTAGAAAATGGAGTGGTGTTGACAGAGATACAACAAAAAAAATTGGATGAATCCAAGCTGAAAGATTTGAAGGCGAAAAATTACTTATTCCAAGCTATTGATCGTTCCATTTTGGAGACCATTCTCCAAAAAGATACTTCCAAGCAAATTTGGGACTCCATGAAGAAGAAGTACCAAGGCTCAACAAAGGTGAAGCATTCAATGTTGCAAGCACTGAGGAAAGATTTTGAGACTCTTCAGATGAAACAAGGAGAGTCCATCAATGACTATTTTTCAAAAGCAATGGCAATTGCAAACAAGATGAGTA